CTTATATGGGATTTTTCCTCCCCTCCCCGGAGCAAATGAGCATGTTAAATCTGTGCATTATATCATTAAGTCTGACAGAAAAAAAAATGGCAAAAGAGTGCTTGCTTTAAAATGACCGAATTCATATCAGGTGTACAAATTAATTTTCTCAATTCTGTGGTTGAACATTTTCGGTACGCAAACCACGAAATGTTGGAATATACGAATCATCTTTGGCTATAGGAAACTTTTCATGAGTAAATTCAACCTTGTTAAAAGCTGGAGTGACTATTCAGGTCCGTACATGAATAAGCTTGTCAAAAAGTGAGTTGAAGAAGCAAACGACAAATGGCAAAAATTACGTCTTAAGTTGTTTTCTTTCTCTATAATACTGAAATTAATCCATAAAATAGACAAAATAGACAAAAAGTTCTCCTAGTCGCCGGAAATTCTCATCTTCTCTCTTTACCGTGTAAACGGCAAAACATTTAGTGCAAAAGTCTCCCATTCGCCGTGAACGTTTTTCTAAATTATCCGCCCTTTATTGTCGTGAGATTTTTCCTACAGTTCACGGTAGCATTTCGCTTGTTTCGGACTTGTTACGGTAGAGCTTCTCTGAAGTATTTAAGTCTTTGCCAAACAATATTTTCCCTTCTTAGTTAAACTCGTAAAGATTTAATATAAAATTAAGGCAAACAATTCAAGGTAAGTTGTACTCACCGCGCCAATGTTGAAATAAAAGTCTGAAGACTAGCTGGTATTTCTTGCATGAAGTGAACTTTACTATCAGGTTTGTTGTACACTGTTCGCTTTGGAAAGTAAAACGCCGGATATGCGTAAGTACGTCATACAGTCAGACGTTGCAAAGGAAATTAGAAAATGAAATTTTCAAGTTCTTCTTTTCAGATTTTCCATTTTCCAAAAAAACTGAAATTTTGAAATGCTTTGTTTTAACCTATTAATATCATTTTGGATTTTAAAAAATGGACAACGTTTTTCAGGTTTACAAAATACATGTATCGACAGTAACGTCTGTCATCTTTAGTTACAACTGGAGTGAATTTTAATGTAGAAGTTACTATACAAGTTTTGTGCAATAGCTGTTACCTAGAGTAACTTACAAAACACAAATAAAATACGTAGGTTGAAAACAAATAAAAACAAAAGTTGAACGCAGAGAAAACGTGCAGAAGCAATTTACTATAGTCCTTCAGGGGTGCCTTCCGGAAAATGCTTTCTGTACGCGCTGCTTTAAAGAAAACCATGGTAAACTATATATCATTGTAAAACTAATAAACTGTAGAATCCGAAAATAACAATACATTTTGCTAGTTTTGCTTTGATGGCCACGTGCAAGCCTTTAAACGCAAAAATGACCGCCCTGGCTGAACTGAATGACCAGCCTTTGTGTTACCGCGGACATCCAAACTGAGTGGACATTATCAATCAGGAGTTGATGGGCTAACAAAGTGTGTGAGGCTTTTTCGATATTTCTATTGGTTGCTTAGGAAATCCCTTTTAAAGTTGGACAATAGAAAATTTTCTGACTGCTGTTACTCAATGGGACGCCACAGGAAAGATATTTCGATTTTCGCAAAAGCCTCACACACTTTGGTGCGCTAATGTCAGACGAAGATTTTGGCCAAGTTTCGTTAAAATCCGATAAATCTACATACCCTATTAATTCATTTAAATAAAGGTAATTCACGCAAAAATAAACTTTGAGGTTTCGGCCTCGAAAGAAATTCACATTTTTCGCACCTCACTGAAGCGGTTGTCAACGCGGCCATGCCGCCAACCAATGAAACGCAGCTTTGAACTCCCTAGCCGTTTATAGTAACGCTTCCCGGGAATGAATGTACAATGTTTATATATACAGTATATCTTTCTATCTTACATCGGGAGTAGCGAGGTCTGCCGTGAAGCATTCAGCAGCTTATAAACCGAATCAGCAGATTAATGGTAAAGAAGGAAAAGGGAAAAAGAGGAATGATAGTGGAATAGCCTTGAACAGGCCTACTCAGCGAAGACAAACAGTAGACTGCAAGGCTGATACTACGTGAAAAACGTTTCGAGACACCAACATGACAAGAACCGATAAAGTAGGATCGCAACAGTGGACAGCTGTTTCGCCCTTCTTGGGGCTTGTCAGCACTGTGTAGCGAAGATATGTAACGCCTACTCAGCGAGCCGAGTCGAGTGCGGATATTTACACATTTAAAAAAACCTAAACGCATAATTCATCGGCCTGTTTGTTTTGCTAGAATATGGAAAAACATTCTTCGAAGCGGAGGAAAGGAGCGTTTGGAGAAGCTGCCTTGTCAGATATAAGCGATTAAATTCGCCGGTCTGATTCCGCGGCAATCAATTGCAACTTCCGTGCCAGAAGAAGCTAGAGCAGGGAATCGACGAAACATTCGCTTGCGATCTACGCTTACGTTCAAATGTGGGACCGCGAAGACCGTGCAAAATCACTTAAGAGACGAAAACAATCGACAAAAGCGGAGATTTCTGTGGAGAAATTGCAAGATGTAAGGGATAAACAAAAAATGCGAAATACGACTCCGCGGATGAGATCGATCAGTTACCGCGAAAATATTACTGCTCAACTCAAGGGTTGACACATTTTAATTGGCTTATCACAGTTTGAAGTTTATTGACTCGTTTTGAAAATTTGCGTTTTCGTAGATAACTCGTTCGCGTTTTAAGTTTTTAAAGTAATTTTTTTTTGTAAAATTCAGATAAAGTTGAAGTCTTGAATTTTGTGT